TGCAGAGCCGTGCCTGGTACGTTACTACACGGCAGCGGCTCCCTCACGAGCGCGCGACTCGCCACATGCAAGGCCAAACCGAGCTACAGCGGAAAGGGTGAATGGGCCCGTCTTAAGTCTTTGGGCCAAGGGTGGTAGGAAGGCAGCATCATGGGCCTACAGGCGGGTGACAAGAAAGAGGGTGGGTGCATGGAAGTGGTGGGGAGAGGAAGCAGGAGAGCTCTAACGAAGGACGTGAAACAGACAGGCAGTACTGGGAAAGGGTGTCATGAGAGAGTTCCCATTTTTCAAGAAACTGTTGCGCATCCAAGCTGCACATAGAAGCCTTTCAGCTCTTTGATGAGCCCCTCAATTTTTCTGGCACCTGCTTCATGCCTCAGAGTCCACGTCGTAGCCCTTGAAATGCTGCAAGCAAAAGCGAGACTTGAAAACCCTCCCTGACTGCCGTTTCCTAAAATAAGACATAACTACATGCTTTCAAAGTCTTCTCGCAAATGAGCCGCTTCTGATGCCATTCTTCCTCGAGAACACCTCAATCACCGGCACGCCCTCAAGTCCTGCTCTGAGGCATTCGGCGGACTCGGGACCACGCTCGCTGCATCATGATCTCTGCTCCAGGCGCTCTTCAAATAGACTGGAACGTAGCCTTGGTGCTCGAGGTCGAGACTGTTCGAGATCGCATCCCGACATGCGGTGTCTTCACTTTGACGATACAGACACGGTGCTCAAGAGCAGCCTCGGCTTTCGAATGCATGCGACTGCCCAACCATGGTCTTCTGATATCTTCTGGCTCATGGCTTACTCCAGAACTGTCTCGCCAGGGAGCGCCGAGCACTGGGTGTAATACCCTGGCGCAGCCAAACCAAAAAAAATTGCCGTGAGCCCATTGGATTATGCTTGGGTCCCCACGCGTGGCTCGCAGAAAAAGGTCCAGGTCCGAGGGAGGCACAAACTCCGTGTCTACCCTCGGGTGCCACTGCACGCAGAAAAATACTCTTGCCATGCCTCTGCAAGTTTAAGCTGGGCAACTCTTCTTGCGGATCGATCGGAGGACTTCCATCGCACAAATCTGTGTTCACGAGCTCCAATACTTCACCTAACTGCTTCTATGGTGGGACATGGATTGACGCGGCTACAAGCAAAGCTTGTCCGATGAAAACCTGGCACCCTCTGCAGCGCTTCTTCCCCGCACCCGTCTCCCCTAAGTTGAGTGGTCCATGGTGCACTCAGTCGCAGACTCGTTTGGAGTTACCGCAGTTGCGCCAAGTCTGTTTCATCTGATGTTCTGTTCCATGTTCCAATTGTATGCGTACCTTAGAATCTAAGGCTTAGATACTGCCTGTGGTGAGTTCCTGCGTGCAGCTGGAAACTTCCGGATTCGCTGCATAAGCATGCAGGGTTTGAAGGTCTTCGCATGTAGAAACACGAGACTGGCAGAAGCGTGTGTCAGTACAATCGCCAGCTTCTTGCGATTACCTTTCTTACGGTTACCAAACATGCGAAACCACGAAGCGTGGAATCGAAGACGCTTGAGCTTCACATTGCCACACTGCCAGCTTCAAGGTTTCGTAGCACATTACTCCTCTCCAGCTGTTGAGATCTGGGCACCGCCGATAGTTTACATCGACGCACTGGCCATCAAACTTGGTGCATCTGTGCCAACCAGTGTACTGGACATGTTGAACCCGTCACTCTGGCTTTTGTTTGTTAGCACTCGCGCTCGACGAGGTCAGGCGAGGTTTGTGGTGGCAGCAAGGCTCTTCTCGAGCCACTCTGATATATATATACATGTGTCAGTTGTTTCTGTGCAACCACACAGTTGTTGCTATACCCAGTTGTGCATGTGTCTTTTTGCCTGTTCTTAACTGATTATTACATCTTCACGTATACGGTTGTTCACTGTTATACGGTTCGCAATGGTTTGCTCCATGTGGACTTGCAGTTGTCGACTGCGGTGTTGTTCGACAAATTCTACACACGCAGTCATGTGTGATGATGAACCGACTGGAGAAAAGGTCATCACAGAGTATTGAGAAACTCAACTTGGGCAGGCGGGTTATGGGATACATGCGAGGTTTTCGGGATGAGCCTTTTGCGGGTTGCCATGTTGCCGTGTGCATCCAAGTGAAGCCTAGCGGGAACGTCGGTGTAGTCTTCAATTCTGGAACCGTAAAAACAAGCTGTATGTGTAGTGCCCACGAATTCGGAAGTTCTGGATGGCTTGGTGCTTGCGCCCACAAATGCCGACCGCTTTCGCTTATCCACGTTTGGATTTTCAGCATACGCTTGCAGCGGATGCATGTGCCCGGAATGATGACATCGGCATCGGCGGCGGGGTTCGGCTGCCGGGAAAGCCTTGTGTTTGGTTTGCTGAGCGACTACGTCGAGCAAAGCCCCTCACCTCCCAAAGGTTACACATAGTGCTCACGATTCCCATGTCGCATGGCTGCCCTGCACCGCCATCTGGAGAACGCCAGCACCCACGGGGGAAGACATAGCCAACCGCGCGCCGGGGGGAAAGCAGAACTCCGACAATGCTGCATACCGGACACCGGTTATGTGAGAACGCCCGAGCTCACGGGGGAAACCAAACACCAAGCGAAGGCACAGTGTCGCGTTTGTTGTGACAGTGCAAGCTGCAAGCTTCCCACCAGAGGCTCAAAGGACCTTTCTAGTGTTAACAGGTCTCGGCTGAAAATGAGTCTTCCCGTGGGATTGGGATTCAAGCAGTTTCTACTGGTGTGGTGTTCTGGGCCAACAGGCGCTACTTTGGAATCAAGGTTTGGCCGTTTAGGTGTAGATGTTGGGGGACTTGCGGCACCTCGTTTTTTCGATTCTCCATCCCCGATTCTCTCACCGACTCCAATCGACGTTGCGAGAGAGGTCCACCCGATTATTCACCCCAGTCACGTCATTGCGACGGAGGTTCGGCTCATGAAGGTTCACCGGGTTGAGGGCACGTAGGATGTTCATGGGAAAGGCAACGGAGGTTCAGCTCACGAGAACTCATCACATGCACTGCTGTTAGGGTGCGCCATACATTAAACGTAAAAGTAATTACTGTAGAAGGCAGGATTCAGACCAATCCCTTCTTTTACAGTGATGGTGTAGAATCGACACCGCGGCGTCAACCGTCAACCTTCACCCCGGTCACTCCCTGCACACGGTGTGGAGGTGTAAGCTCTTTACGGGAAGCGACATGAGCAATACGACACTGTTTCAGCCCATGAAGATTCACCTCAATCACTCCTTTGTGGGTGTGCAGGGTCTTTCGGAAACAGTGGAGCGTTTTTCACCTTGCAGCCGGGTGCTGGGTTGTGCATGGTTTTGCGAGCACCCATTCCTTGCCCCCTCATTGCACCAAAGAAACCCAGTCGAGGAAAAAGAAGTCACAAGCAAGGAAGGAAAAAACAACTTAGAGGCTACCGGGTGGATGGGATTTTGCGGATTGCAGTCGTTGCTTCAGCCACGAAGTCACGAAGTCTTGATTCACGGGCACAGCAACCTTCATTAATGCGGATGCTGTCGCACACAACATTGACGCTCTTCTCAATTCGCAAACGGCCAGGCAGCCAAGTGCTGGGGTAGCTAGGGCCTGCTAGGGGTTGCCCCGCCAGCCGCATCTGCGCGGGCCCGACATGCATGAGTCAAAGATGAATCAAAGCGAGCAACAGTCTTCGGCGGCGGCGGAGGCAGCACATCTCATGATCTTCACTTCCCCAGTCACGGCACCAGCTGGCACAAAGGATGCAATTGCAAAAAGGCTCCGTATTCCTCGCGCACTGACACAGAAGCAGGTCAAGGCCACAAAATCCGCGGCGCAAGCGGCGATGTCTCGCTAGAGCGGACACAGCCACGACAGCAACTGGAAGTCCATATCCTGGTGTCTGGCCTTGCTGCACAGTTCTCGACCAGGCACCAGCTACACAAAGTTGTAGCCTCTGGGGTCTGCACCAGCTTTTCGATTCTCGTGCGCGAGCCGCAGTTCTAGCTTGGAGCCTGTGCATTCCGGGAGCTCAAGACTCTCAGCATCTGAGGAGACGGTGTGTAGTTTGAAAGCCTTCGAGAGCATCTAGCCGCGTAATGGCGTGAAAGCCCCTGTACGGCGAGATGCGATGCCAAGGTAGGATCACATCCATAGCTGCAGCGGTGGCAAAAGCATCCGAAATGACAGGGACTAAACCAAACAGTTACCCTCTAGCTTGTGTCGGAAGGACGGCGTTCTCTTTCCCTTCACATGCTTGCTGCACTACGTTTACCTGCAAAGCAGTCTAACTAGCTTCACCTCGGTCTTATTCTTAGAGATGCTGGGTTGAATCGAAAAAAGCAAGGAGGCTGGCATTCTTGAAACACCGCTGCATGGACTCAAGGAGGGACGGGTACGGATGCACGCAACTCATTTCACTTTCTGGTCTCGCTCTGAAGCTGCCAAGGGTCGATATGGCATCTTATGTGGCAACCTACTCAGCCTGTTCCCTTGAAGCTTCTGTCTGTTTCCCCACAAATAAATGCCGCCGATCAGCCACGATTTTAATCTTTGGACACTTCTTCAGGTTGCATGGGAACAGGCAATGTAAAAGGAGATGCAGTGCATGGCCTTTGTGGAGGCAACTCTAGAGCCCATTGTCGGGCGCTGCTCTTTGCGAAGTATCTAGAGCCACGTACTTGAGCAACCTATTGTTCGCCTTCGTTGAAGAGCATCTTGATGAGACATTTGCATGCAAACCAAATAGCGGCTTGAAGCACCACCGCCGCAACATATGGAGACACGAAACGCATCCGCGGTGTAGCAGCGGATTCAAAAGCCCAGTTCATTCACATGCAGCCCAGTACTGGGCGCAACGAATTCTTCACACATTTCTTAAAGTCAATGCTGCGCATGCAAGCACGTCAAGTGTTCCGGTCGCAGGTTTATACCGCGACGACAGGCAATGTGACCTTCTGGTGAGATCAAAAGAACTTCAAGGATTTCTGGCAGCGGCAGCCGAGAATCTAAAAACTCAGCCGGTTGCCCTGTCAGCGTTGTGCACTTGTACAGATTCCAAGGCTGCGTCGGCTTCACTCCCATTCTTAATTCGTCTGGCACGGCCCACAGCCATTGCCAGAAAGGCCGCCCATCCAGCCACGGACATCAAGAACACAAGAGCGGATGTTGTCCAAGCTGTCTGTACATGTTGTTTCTTGGACGCCTCCCCCATTTCATGGGCCTCCTGAAGCAGGCGACCTGGTTGCGTTTTTGGTGTTACTTGCTGTGGCTCCCCCATGAAGACTTGAAATCCTGCGGCAAATTGGTACCCCAACGGCTCCAGGCGTTTCGCTAATGCAGATGACAGGCGAGCAGTTGCCGCTCCTGCGCCGCTGAGCAGGATTAGCTTGGCCTCCACCCGATCAAAGAATTGCTGCAAGGCTTCTGGCTCCAGCCGGGGAGCGAGGACTTCGAAGTCAACCACAAGGCTTGCTGCCCTCGGCATCACCCGCACGGCTGGCTGATCAGAGCCCACTCCAGGCAAAGCGGATGCATCCTTAAAGGCACGTCCTAGTGTGAGCTTAACTTGTCCATGCTGCACTCCAGGCAGCGATTCGGACAAGACTTCACCAATAATCCGTCTCTCTCGGACGCTGGGTGGAACAAACTGATCCTGGCCGTCGGTCTGCAACTTGATCGGCTTAAGAAAGCCCGGAATTGTGACCGTGCCAAAAATGCCTTGCCTGTTGCCAAGAGGCATGCGACCAGCGTTTGAGACGGGAAGTGGAAGGGTTCGCGAGTCGGTTGCAGACCAAAGCGGCTGAACATCACCTGCGCCAGGTTTACGATCGTGCTTCAGCCACGGCTCCTGAACCCTTCCGCCCCTGTCCAATCGACGGTTGCCGCCAGTGACCCCTGAGTTCCGAGTGCTGTCTCCATATCCCCCCCAGCCGTACCAACCGTAGCCAGCAAAGGATTCGACAAAGTCCTCAACAGCGATAACGACCCCATGCTCCATATCCTTGTCTGCATACGAACTCACAACCATGAGACTCTGTCCAGGTCTGAAGGCTGCATGCAAAGCATATCGCACCACTCCTGGCTTTCTTGCGGCTACCCGTCCAATCAAAGATACCTTCTGATCGCCTGTGGAGAGGTAAACCGTGTATGCAATAATGTTTTTTGGATTCGCAGCTGGCAGAATGGTCACGGTACCCTTGATTTGATTTTCGACGGGGTCTTCATCGCCAGAGAAATTGGCAAAGACCGGCACACTCCGGACAATGTCCATAAGCTTGGTAGATTTAGTCGCCGCGCTCACCCCGGACGGATTCACAGCATGTACAACCACGGAAGCAGCCGCATCTGGCACTTGCAAGCCTTCTCCAGGCAACTGTACTCGCACAGTATCCGTGGTCTCGTGGTCCAGGTCTTTGGTCCAACTGAAACCCGGGATTTCGACACCGGCCTTGTCAGCGAGCAGCACGCGATAGGACGAGACGATGCCTTGCAGACGGACCTCCGGCAGCCTCAATTTGATCGCTCCGCTTATGACGCCTTCCTCCACATTTTCATCGTTGAACTCCACGGAATCAGGCAGGTATGCTCTAGAGGGCGGCATGGAGTTGGCATCAAAGTCGTTTATCGGACACGACATGGCCTCTGAGGAGAGCTCTGTCCGGCCGTAAGCCGACACGACTTTAATATCAGCGCTTGAAAGCCTTGAGCTTGGCAGAGCAAATCGTGCTTCCTCACCATCCTGCCATAACTCCAGGCTCCAGCCACCTTCGCCCTCGCTGTGGTCGCTGAGCCACGTGAGTGTCTGATCTCCCCTTGGCACATGAATGACTTTAGGAAGCTCCAAATCCGTTCCACTTATTTGTGTCCCGGCAATTTCCAAGTAGTCGTAGTAGCTCTCTGTCAAAAAGCTTGTGATTTTCACGGTGGCAGGGCCACTGAAGGTAATCACTGCAAGCTCGTTGTTGCCGTAAGCATCACGGTGATAGAGGTGCTTTCCATTCTCATAGCTCATGTTGAGCAATGAGCAGTCACCTGTGCATGAAGGGGAGAGATATCCAATTGCTGGAACCGAGCCAAGCAGGTCGCCACGCTCGGAAGCATGCTGCCAATAGATGTTGTAGTGGCTTACCTAGCAGGCGTAGCATCACATGTTGTCACATACCTTGTGCAAACAAGCCCGCATGTGTGCAGTGCTAGAACACGGCCTGGCTTTTGATAATGAGTTTAGACTGTCCCTGTAGCATCTACTTGCAGCTCAGTGGTGGACTTGAACCCCCTGCGCCAACCCTTCGAAAATGCTCGACGAGGCTCGGTTCTCTCATTGCATGCCCGACGGATCTTGATGCTGCCGCCCACTTTGCCGGCAACGGGATCTGCGTCACCACCGAATGACACATCCTCTGGGCCAGCCTGAGCTCATGGTAGACTTAATGGCTTTGTCGCTTTTACTTCTGAAACTCCCTTCATCTCTTTTATCTTGTTGCTGGCACCTCCGGCACACCGTAGTCCTCAATCTCCAATACCTGACGAGAGGCGCAGCACGTGCGGATGTATTCATGGATCATGCATGAGCTACAGTTGGAAAACGATGCCAAAACCATCTGGGGGGCCGCAGCTGCTGTGACTGGCATCCTCCCACTACTATTTGCTGCAACCGCCGCCATGCCCTTGGCAAACAATGGAATCGTCAAGTTGTCCAGCTTGATGCTCAAAGTTTTGTGACCGGAGACATTGGCCTTTCCGATGCTTTCCATGAGAACACCAGCCGAGGAAAGGAAGTGCACACCATAGTACTCGATGTCGCTTTGATCGTCTGGGGCAGAAATGATGACACTACCGCCGATGCGGCCAACACCGGGGTTTATGTCGGCAAAAAGAACCTGCTTAGGCGCGTGGATTGGGGGCCTTGGTGCTGGGTAAATCGAAGCCAGGCCCATGGCACGGCGAGCATTGATCCGACCACCAGTCACACAAGCGTTCTCTAAACTCTTCTCTGGAACCGTCGAGCGAAGGATGATGTCCTTGACCTGACTCACCGCCAGCTCGGGCCGGTAGAGCCAAATTAGAGCGGCCAAGCCACTGACGTGTGGCGTCGCCATAGATGTGCCGCTGAGCGACGCATAGTCTCCACCCGGTATGGTCGAGTAGATGTCACTTCCCGGAGCAGCAACATCTACCGTGGTTTTGCCATAACAGGAGAAAGCAGACAAGTCTCCTTTCTGCGTCGTTGAAGCCACGGAGATGATGTTTTCATTGGGGTAGTTTGCCGGGAAATTCGGCACCTCGTCATTGTCCAGGCCGTCATTGCCTGAAGCTGCCATAAAGAGCACTCCAGCATGCTCGGACCTCTCGATGGCCACTCGGAGAGCAGAAGATGAGCCGCTACCACCCCAAGAGTTGCTCAGGATCTGGGCGCCCATGGCAACTGCATAGTTCAAAGACTTCACAGCATCGGAGGTGCGGCCTCCGCCTGCAGAGAGTGCGGATAAACATGTTTGATTCCGACAGCCACAAGTCAAGCAGAAAGAAAAAAAGACTTTACAGGAGTGCAAACCCTGGCAAATCAGGGCAACAGGGACCCTATGCCATAGCAAGATTCACAAGCAGTAATGCAGCAGCACCTAACTGACTCGAACCCTGTAAGGACAGGTGCAGGCAAACACTCTATCCAAAATATCCAGTGATTCGCCGATGTCTGAAAGGCCGCAGATATGAAACAACAACGGTTCGCAATGAACGGCTTGTATACCTGGTAGGCTTGCAGAATCTCAGCACAGAACCTGAAGAGAGTGACCTTTCGCTACTACCAATGACCGGCAGCAAACCCCCAAAACCCGAAAAATGCCTGAAGAGACCCGGATAAATGGCAGAGCATACAACAAGTTGTCCTAGCTCTCTGAATCGACTACCCGCGTCTGATCCAACTATTTGCTGACTCTGTCTCAATTCCCCAAAACTGCCGGTCGCATGTCCCATTTTTGCGGCAACCCAGGCCTGTTGATGTTAAGAACTTTAAAGCCATGAGACGGACGCCCTGCCACGCAACTCCGGCAATTCCAATGCTGTTGTTTCCAGTGGCAGCAATGGTGCCCGCGCAATGGGTTCCATGCATCTGGTCATCCATGGGATCCCCATCGTTGTTTGCAAAGTCTGCCCCGTGTACATCATCCACAATGCCGTTTCCATCGTCGTCAATACCATTGCCAGCAATTTCGTTTGGATTGACCCACATGGACTCCTGCAAATCCGGATGTGTATAGTCAATTCCAGTGTCAATGACCGCAACCACGACGGGCTGTGCTGATTCCGTGACTGATCGCGAAGACATTTTCCACGCCTCAACTGCATCCATGTCACGATCACCGAAGTGATCGATGGCCCACAGCTTCGAAAGCCGCGGGTCATTGGGAACCAGAGTATCTTTGCCATGAGTCATGGTGACCATAAATCGCTCACTTATCTCTACTCTGTCTGTTGTGGCTGAAAGCATATCTGACGTAGAATTGTCCCGACTGACATGCTTGTCGGAAACCTTGCTGCGAAGGGAAATTGTGTCATCGGTGTTGTAAATAAGCTTGAACTTTTCCCAATCATCAGCGTCTCGATGTCCGCGATGCCATGCCACAAGATGTCCAGATGGACTTGTCACAAGGTATGTTCCGTGGCTGGAGCGCAGTGACACGTAACCATCTGGATGTGCTTCAAGTTGGATTTGTGCATCTGGATCTGTCTTCTTCCCACGCCAACCCACACGCCCGAAGTGCGACACTGTAATGTAGCCGCCGTGGACCTGAGACAAGGCACACTTTGCAGACATGATCTCCCATGCTGGCTGAACTACAACTAATGCGACCATGCTGCGCTTTGCAAAGAAATTGTACTCTCGCTTTGTGGGGTGGATCTCTTTTGAGGCTTCGCAAAGCAGCATGCCATTCTGGCACCGTCCGAGGCTGGACAGCAGCTGCCTTGCAGGTTCAAGGCGCGGCAGCCGGGGTTCGCAGAGCACATCTGAGCATCTGCACCAAACGCGTAGACCCAGGAATCCGGAACTGCAAGCTCCACATCCTTGTCCGCATCGATGGCCTGCAAAACAGAGTCTTCGTCAGCGCCTGCCTCGCAAACCACGACAGCCATATCCAACCGTCTCAATGCATCAGCCCTGCGGATGCCTGGAATGTTCTCCAAACGTGCCACGTACTCATTGAGCCTCTCCCCTGACCCTTCCGGGTAACGCACAATGAAGCGGCTTTCTACGAGCTTCTCCTTTCTTGCATAAATCGTCTGAGACGGCAGGGGAAGCGCCAGAGAGCCAAGAGCAAGCACAACGCGCAAACATCTGGCCATGCGACGAATCGCTAGCCTCGCTACTTTGTCTCTGCCTCTGCACAGCCCTTGGTTTCGAACTGTGCAGCCAGAGCCATGGAGAAATGCTGCGGGGATGCACATGACGTGCGGATCAGAGGTGTCGCACATGCCATGTGGATGACCAGCGGAGTAGCACTTTGAAGACTTGAAGAAAGAGTAGAAAGCAAGGCAAGCATCCCGGCCCAGCTGTCCTTGTGCTGAGGTGCTCGTTTAGCTTTCTCAGTTCAGTGATGGTTTCAGCCTGAGCGGGACTGCTCGAACGGATGGTGGTGCCTCTAACGCAACAACTGTGAGGTTGCCTTGGCTGCAGCCTTTGGCGCAGCCTTGCCGTTTGTCGCCTTCTCTGCCTGAATGACAACATGTGAAATCTGTGTAGCTTTGGGCCCGCACTGACAGATCAAGAAGTTGAGGAGCTGGCAGGTTTCGCTTTACTTCCACCACCACCACCTGTCTTGCCTTCGACATGCTCAAGGTCCGACTACGCAACATGTCTTGACATGATTGGACAAGCAACTGCTTTCAATTTCGAAGTGGATGCCGGGCTTCCCAGGCCTTGTAGCAACATCAATTCGAACCCATGGCAAATGAGAAGTTCCGGGATGCTTGCTGTGAGTTACCGGCCGCATCCTGCAGATGAGGCACTGCCATAGCATAACAACTGCGGACTTTGAAGAATGTTGGGGACCGTCTCAAGCCTTGTGGTCAGGTTTGGCAGACTCGGCTGAGCACACCTCCACCTGCACCTGAAACGGCTGGTCTCGGCAGCAGAATTGATGGACATTGATGGCGCCTGCAACTTCTGCTGCAAGTATGGCACCTGCCACCGAGTGAATTACATGGGCTCGGCCAGGTATCGGCCGGGGCTCCGGACGTTCTCGGCAATCAGGGCCAGCTCATCAAACGGTAAGGATGCATCTAAGGCACTCGCTCCAAATGCAGCAGCCTCTCTGCAACGAGCGTAAAAACAGACCGCAGGAATGGCCGTCTCTGGCCTCGTCTCGTTTGAAAGCAGCGAAAGGTCCCAAATGCTTGCCAAAGGCTCTCAGCGACGGGTCCTTGCATCTATATGGCTGCAACAGCTCTTCATCCATGCTGCACGTCCTGCATCAGCTCTGTCATAATTTCCTTCCACTGCGCTGAGGCTTCCGGGTTCGCCTTCATGTCTTCCTGTATCTCTGTCGCAGCGAGGGCACGATGCGCACACACACACACACCGGCATGCAGGGTATTGGGGCCTGAGACACCAGGGGTAACTTGCCGGCACCCTGTCGCGACCTGTGGTCGCAGGTGACAACCCGCTGCATCGCAGCCTTCCGAGTGCACAGCCTGAGCTTTGCCAAGACCGTCCTCAGTGCAAGATCCGCACTTGCACCGGGCAGTGTAAAGTGCAAAAAGCACGCGTCTTGCAGCGAGCAGCTTCTTCCAGTCAGGGAACTCCTACCGGCTCGCACGAGAACTGACTCGGGCGTTCCCGAAACGCCGTTGCCGAATGCCTTTGCAACATAGACAACGGCCGACTTTGCCGTCCCAGCTTTGGTTGCTTTCTCCAGCCTGCTCGCAGCGTCCCATAGATAGACTGACCAGCACTGCTCACGAGATGACGGCGAGTGAGGAATTGCAGACACTTGTCCAAGAACATGCTGTGCCCCAGGCAGCTTGATGAAGTCGTGGGGCACCTCATGCACCCGACAACTTGCAACAGTCTACAAGACACGAGACCCTCTCTGGGCATTTGCAGTCTGCGTGCACCATGAAGCTAGCCTTGTTGAACATGTAGTCACCCTGATTGGACAGGGAAGTATCCACTTGAGCTGTTGGAGCTGGAAACCTGCAGGGACACATCATGGACACACGAACTGTCAAATTGTCGTAGGCGGATGCATCCAACCTCGCATCCAACACCGATCCTGACTTTCCAAGGACGGTGGACCAACCGTGCTCGCAGAAGTGCGGGCCTTCGGGTTGAGTCGCTTGAGTTCGAGAGCATGCAAACCCTCCCACACAAGTCTGGGGCAAATTGGTGACAGCGTTATCATTTGCCATTCCAGATACCTCACTCTGCAACCAAAGTATCGCACTGCTTCCTGCACGAGGAATGCAACCAGGCAGCCGCATGGTCAAAGCTTTGTTGGGCCGACAGCTGGCAGCTTTGCAAATGTCACGATACCTTTCACAGTTCGCAGCTGTAACAATTATCACTCGCAATGTGGAGTTCATTGCCGAGTGGTCGGCTGATCGAAAACGGACGTGAACTCGAAGTAGCATGTGCGCAAAGCTTCCCGATAGTACCTGCAACCACTTCTGCCAACATTGCCCATCACCTGAGGTAGCTGATTCAACACATGATGGCTGCCAGCGAGTGCCTGCGTGCGTGGGTAATTATGACCATTCCCGGCACGAGGGATGATGTGCTCTTCGGCGGGGGAAGGGAGAGCCGGAGAGCCGAGCTGGTCTTTTTTTTCCCCCCACCAAGGACCAGCAAACGCAGCGCTGACGCGCGTGCAGTCCCCGTCATGCTCGGGCTCCTGGCCTCATGGGCCACAACCCAAGCCTCGACGCAGTGCGCGGGTGAGCATCCACTTGGCGAAGGGCCAGGGGTGCATAATTTAAATTCCTTCGGGGCAACTGAGGAGAGTGTTGTTCGGTTCGCTCCATCCGTGGGTCCTTCCTGTTGGTGTTCTTTGTCGAGTGCTGAAAGTTTGCAGGTTTGGATGGGAGGGAACTCTGAGAGTCTTCCTTTGATGTTAAGGCTATGGCGGAGGTCTGAGGTCCTTGAACCCAGAGCTCGCGGTCTTTACAAATAATGTTTTCCAGTGTGTTTCGGCGTTCGGACCCAGGCCAGATACGATTTCCAGGCGTGGCCAGACTTGCCCAGCTGTCGATGCGGCGCATCATACTCTCGATAGCTTGGGCTCTGCACATTGGTGTAGTTCGACACTACGGCTCACAGTCGACAGGGGTCACATCGTCTCATAGAATTTCTTACTCTCCAACCTGGGTGCAAACCACATCTTGCACTGACTGCCACAAGGGCTTAAGCTAGGGCCTCTCTCCACTAGGGCAGCAACACCAGGCGATTCATTTCGTTGGCAAACCACTTGTCCACGAAACGCGCTTTCTCGTTACCTGCTCTCAACTGGCTTCTGAAACAGTGATGAATCCTGTTTGGCCCAACACTGCGATGCACAGTTTGCTTCCCTGAAGCATAAGAGCACCTGCATCAAGCGGCTCGCTGCCGCTGACAAGTGCTTTCATGGTCTCCAAAAAGACCGCCAGAGTGAGTACTGCTTTGTTACCTCGAGGCATCATCCGCTCCCGGACCCCCAAAAAAAACATGACAAGCACATCTGGATCTGCGGCCAAAGAGCACACTGTCTGGTCAAAATTTGCTGGCTCCAGTGTATCGCCGGAGTTTGCCATTGCAAGTCGGACCGTGTCTGCCGAGTAACTGGCACAAGCATGTGGTAAGCTGTGTCGCTTCAGCTAGATTCATTCGGCTTCTGCCAATTCGTAGAGCACTTGTTGATGATCTCCTCCACTGTGAAGAAGTTTCCCTTCGATTTGGACATCTTCTCCTGGGCTGGTGGTTCACCCAGCTGTGCCGCTCATGACATGGTTCAACACCTGCTTGCAAGTGAGTCACGTTGTTGACTAACAACCAGCCGTTGCAGAAAAAGCTCTTCGGCCAGAGTTCGGGCTCCTTCTCCTGATATGCTCAATGAGAAGTTCGGGCAACGGCAACGACGGCAAACCACGACGGTCAAGGCACGAGCCCAAACGCAAGCGTGGTTGTACAGAGCCTAACGTGCTGACACGTGCACCGTATGTGGTTGGCATCCGGAAAGCAACAAAGCCTCGGGCCATAGTCAAATGATTCTGAATCAAATCCTTGCCGGATACTCTCAGGTCCATGGGGTACCAAAACCTGCATTTGTCAGTCCGCAATCTCTTCAAAAGCACATGGCTCTGAGGGATGCCTGAATTCTTTCCGCATCTTCTCCTGCGGGAAAGAAATCTCGCAACCAAGCACATCTGATCCAAACAATTGCGCCCGAATCAGCATGTCTTGCATCAAGTCTCCAGTGTCTTCTGAGGAATCTTGCTCTTTTTCGGCAAGGGCCTCATTCAGCATTGCCGCGGGTGCACTACAGAGCTTTGGCGGCGAACTGACATGCTCCGCGAAAGCCAAATAAGTCTGCAGCGTGTTGAGGAAAACAAAATCCCACACGTCGTCAGTAAGGTCCTCAGCCTGGCACTGGTGTTCGCAGCCACTCAGTCGCCAATGCAACAGACTGCGGCAGATTGCCTGAATTTTGGCGGGACTTCCTTGCCCACCATCCAAGTTGTCCTGACGACACTGCGGCAACATGCCATTGTGCTGTCCGAACAAACTCCAGGGCAGCCTCTCCGTGGAGCAGATGTGCCACCGTGTAGTAAGCCATGTAAATAGTGCTATCTGACCTTCAGGCACAAGTCAGTAAAACAAGTGTAAAGCCTGAATCCACAAGGAACCCGACTCAGCCAATCGGGAGACTGCAATATGAAAGTATCAGACTTTCGAAAGGCACGGCAGGAGAATAGAATTATGGAGAATTATTGGATCAAAGTGGCTTTGCAAGAACGCTGTGGAGACTGTCCCGACATTTACGCTCTCACAACTCGGACAAGCCAGGTGAGGTGCATGGTGCGAGGTCGGCGTGAAACAAGAAATGACAACCCACACTCGAAGTCAAAGCCCAACAATAAACCAAGTCTAAGAACCAATCCAGCCAAGGACGGCACATAATCATGGGTTGGCAATGTGTAGCAGGTTTTGCCATCACACTCTCCTTGGTTACCTGGTTCCCTTCAGCAACAAGGCCCTAAAACAAGGTCACGCCGCCGCTGGTGGCCCCGTGGATTTTGCACGCCAAATCGTGCATTTATCCCACGAATACCAGCATTCTTAGTGATAAATGCGTTTTACGGATGTGTCTTTTTTCTTGATTTGAAAGCACGCGTACACTCTTGTAGTAACAAGAGTGACACGCCTGCCAGTGTTGCAGGTTGTGTCCACGGCGTCCGCAGAGCAAGCAACGCTTGCTCTGATTTGCTGGCATCTCCCCTGAAAGCCTGAGAGGCTGCAATTGATAAAGCCGACAATGCATCCCATCATCCCCCCACCCCTCCCCACACCCCCCACCCCCGACTTGGAAGCAGGCAGCACTGAAAAGACCGAGAACATGTGGTAAGAACCACGAAAATCCTAAAAACATGCATTTGGCATGGGGCCGCGAGAGGGTGCGTGAGCTAAAACAAGTACAACATTGACCGGGGAGCCAGGCATACGGAGAAAACATCACACTTGCGAGGTTCCTAGGGCAACATCGGGGAGGCAATGTTGGTGAAACTTAATTAGGGCTTGGTAAGAGGTTTCACTCCGGTAGGCAGAGTAGCAATGCCCAGACAAATTCAAAAGTCACAAACGGGTATGTCGGCAGGTCAAGTGGATATGTACCGTGGCACTCACCTTTCGCTTGGTCACCAACGTTGTCAGTGGCAGCTATTGGCAGGGCAGTCCAAAGTTGCAGTGTTCCAGCACAGTGGGTGACCATGGCGATCCAGAAAGAAAACACATTCAGGTCGGTCAAGAAAGGCCCCCACTATATATAGCGCTCCAGTTGCTAGATTTTATCGCGCTCTGGGAGATGGCGCTGCCTGTGATTTCTTGCCAATGACTGTACGGCTGCGTTTGTGCAGTCCAGCATGAAGAACCAAAAACATCGCTCTCTCTCTCGCCGGTGCAGCTCTTGCGAAAATCAGTTTCACATCTGTCAGGCCCAGTTCATGCCAAGGTTCCTTGTCTAGTGGGGCCTGTGTGCGTACTCCCAGATCGTGCAGACAGGCAGACACCAGTTTGCATCACAGATCTCCCGGTACCCTTCAATTGAGGGAATTTTCCAGGTCAGTGTGCAGCACGCTTTTCGTAGCGGGCTAAACGAGAGAGCAAGTTTTGTTCGTCACCAGCAGACTGTATGAGCATCCGCAGCAATTACAGCGACGACCTTGCACAGACTCGAAGAGGCCCCACGATGCTCGTCTTGGAGATGCAGAGGGCTGGTCCCATGTACAGAGCACCATGGCTGTAGGCACCGGCGCAGGGTAGTGGTTGCTTAGGGGAGGCTGACAAGGAGTAAAACATAATTGGAAAAGTCTCAGGGAGGGTTCTCTCAGGTAGGGTCCAGGCGGACAGACAAGACAACACTAGCATCATCATCGTGCAACCATGCACCATCAAAGAAGGGCAGCATGCAAAAGCAGTCCAGCAGCAAATTCAAGAATTCATAGTCCAGCAAAGGTCGTCAGTGCAGGGCAAGCAGGCAAAGGTCCTCACCTTCTCGTGTTTTGCACACGCGATGCGCCGGGCACTGTCCTCGCTTGTCATGATTGTGAGTCCAACACCTCAATAACGTCATGCTTGTCACGCTCCTGGGTGGGCAGACTGAAGGCTTCCTGGACCGAGAGTTGTCTAAGGCGTGCTGGTGTAGTCCGGATAGATGCATTCATTGTTGTGCATGCAAAGGTCCTGCTCACCTGGGAGGGGGAAGCCCAAGTCCAGTAGCACCCTAGTTACCCGAGGTTCCACACGACATGCATGCAAGGTGGTAAATGCTACTAGAATGACTCGGGAAGGTGCAGTCTCACGGCTTGCAACATGACCTGCATGTAGAACCTTCCTTGCATCAAAGATGAAAGGCTCTTCCAGAGGGACGACTGTGCCTGGGAGATGCTTCGTAAAGTGTTGTTTGTAGTGACTGCCCATTATGTCATGAATCCAGAGCCCGTCTCCCTCTGACCCCTTAAAGAGATTAACAACAAGGGAAGGGCATGGACCGTTCTTCATGTCCCGGTGAACCTTACCGAAGCAGCCCTGTCTGATAACGAAGGTCGAAAACTTGTGGTTGGGGGCAATTTGATGAATGAACTTGGTAACAATTCTAACAAAGTGGGGACTGGAATTGCACAAGTTCAGAAGGGCCGACGAGGACCTAGGGTTCACCCCACCTGACCTACCACGAACACGACGGCATTGTCACCAGCTTCACCACCTGTACGACGGAGTAACGAACGGGGCATCTTACGGAACAGGCTCACGAGGTCGTGTTTTGTTGGGGGTTCGGGCATTTGTAGCATGTCCGAGGCCAGCTTCTCCAGGCATCCTGGCGCGCTCATAGGAGTGATGATATCGCTTCCTCCTCCTGAACTATTCAATATCTCTTCGTCATCTGATGCCAAGTCTACGCTTAGCGACTCCTGGGAGGGGTCGATCTGGGTTTCGGGGGAGCCAGTAAGGTCAACAAGCAAAGGAGCGGGTTTCAGGGGAAAGCTCAACATCTTCTTGACCAGTGAGTCACTCACGGAGCCTGTTGGAAACTGCGGGTGGCAACAAAACTGTCCACACAGGTAAACGTGTTTGCAAGAAGTGCCAAAGGATACTCTCGCAAGTTGCGTCGAACCGCCCTTGCATGTCCATGAACAGAAATGCGATGTAAGACTGTTCATCAGGAGTAGGCTGCGGTGGTGCGGATGCTCCGGGTGAAGGTAGGGGGCAAAGGTGACTGAAGTCCCTGAGTGTGCGTTCGAGTGAAAGTGCGTACAGATGCAAACACCGAAATACCAGGACCAGGCCTTTCGCACTCCCCAAAGGTACCCTAAGGTCAGCAGCCAGCTTATGGGCAAGATGCTCAGGCATGGTTTGTAGTGCATCAAGTATCTCATCTGCTAGCAGGGGCACAAAAGGTCGCAAGTGAGGTGCAAGCTGAAACTCGAAATCACCAAGATCCATGAGTTACGAGGGGTGGACTCGTATGATGTGAACAAGCTCACAAAGGCTTGGGCCCGCACACGGAGCACAGCATGGATTTGAAGAAGGACTCCAACAAAAGCACTCACTAAGACTTAGAGGCTCAGCGGCGCAAGGTTGGGACCCTTCTTTTGCAGCAAGGCACAGTTGCCGGCTTCATGCAAAGGAGGCGAAAAGCTATCAAGTGCAGTGCGCATCGGCTTGCAAAAAGGCTCACCTTATGAGACAGCTATCACTTCGTGGGCACTGAGGGCTCCAAGGATGAAGCCAAAACGATGGAGCCATAGTTCAAGGCTACACAAAGGCGAGGCAGGGATCCAAGGAGCACAGTGCCATTTTAGGGTAAGCAAGGGCATGCACAGTACGCAAGTCCTGCAAACAAACTCGGGCATGCATTCGAGGCCTGAACATCGTAGCCTAAGAAACTAAAGCAAACCTTCAGGCCTCAGGCGCATGCAATTACGGTCCTCCTGCTGTCTTGACTTAGCGGTGGACGGGAATATTGATGGCGCGACCGTCTCCCATGTCAATATTGACCTGGGGCGCATTGCTACCACGGCCCATAGGTATGGCTGTTTGTAGGTGTAGCTGCTGCCTCGCACCATGAATCGAGGGTTCATAATATCATAAGCAGGCGGCGGCATCGGGGGCGACTGTGCCGGTGTCTGGACACTCACCGGGACCGGACGTTCGCAGTAGTCGCGGATGACCTTCACCTGCTCGACCGTGTCCGAAAGGACGTTTGCAATCTGCCACAGATTGTCTTTGGTGGTGCTCTGTTCTCCTTGCACGTGGTGAAGGGCAGCAAGGGGCTCCTGGCCAAGGTCGTAGGTCTGCTTGCAGAGGTCGCCAAGTGTCTTTGAGAGCGACTGGTGGGCCTCGTAGTCGCAGCCCGTGGCCTTGTTGATGCATGTCTTGGCACCGTGTTTAAGATTGTCACGCTTGGCCGCGATGAGGACTTGCGTGTCTGCGTGGAACGTCTTGGCCGCGCCACCCATTGTGGCCAGGGACTTCAAGCATTCCTTGAGATACGATTCAGTCGATTCGCTCGCCACGTCGAGATTCGACGACATCGTGCACACGTGGGCGTTGACTGCCCCCACGACTTGCTCCAGAGCTGTGATGCGGCCACCATGTCCTCAAGCTTGGACACATCTGCTGGGGTTCCCGCGCCCGCGAAGTTCTTGAGAGTCTTATGCACTGCCTGAACTTCTTGCAGCAAAGACTGAGGCGTCACCGAGGGGCTCGTTGGGGCGGTGTGTTGGCTCGCGGTCTTAGGTTTCGCATCTGCACCACCTGTTTGCTTCGTGTCTGTATTGCTGGCATCCTCGCTTCCGGGGGTACCACTCGGAGCGGCGGTGGATGCCGGCTGCGGGGCTTTTGGCGGCGCCCCATCATCTTTCTGAGTACTCTTATCAGCTTCTTGTTTTGTCGCTGTCTTGTCCTTCGCCTCCTCTGTAAAGCTGACTGACTTGGCCTTCCCGGTAGCAGGCTCCTCCGACTCGGAGCCCTGAGGGCGCTGCTGTTTCCGGAGGCTCTTCGGCTTCCCTGCCGAGGAATTCCACCAAGCATTCAAGCTTCTCACTGCAGAAACCACCA